GTGTTTGTGGTCGGTTGCTGCAGTTTCTAAGAAGCCCTCCCTTAATCGATGAAGAGAAGAAGGCTGATTCGTGTGGTGCAGTGGGTGTCTTGTGTGGTCTGATTTTCGGTGATCAGGTAAGAGGTTTTATGCATTTTTTTTGTGTGAATCAAATGAGAAATCTATTTCAGACTGTATGGTGGGATTTCAGATTGTAGTGTGCTAGGGTTTGTGCACCCTTCAGTGTGATTCGAATGGGGGGTGTTCCTCAAACAATGTTGAGAAGTTTCAGGCAGTCGTGGAATTGGGTTTGTGGTGTAAAGAGTGCAATTTGCAGCAGTAGTAAGTGCTGAAATCAGGGTGTAGTGTGATCTAGTATGCAGTTTGCCGAATTCAGCAATGGGAGACAACAGTGATAGCAAGACTAGTGTGATGGTCCCTACTGATTACCTGAATGTTCAAATGACCTCTATTAAACTGAATGGAGAAAATTATGTACCTTGGGCCAAATCTGTAGAAGTCTTTCTTAAGGCAAAGAAGGCGAAGCACATAAGGGATGAAAAACCTTCCACTGATTCTCCCGAGTATGATGACTGAGAGCAGGCAGATACACAGATCATCACATGGTTATGGAATAGTATGGAACCCAAGATTAGTGTAAATTTCATGTTCCTTGATACTGCCAAAGAAGTGTGAGACCATGCTAAGAAGCTGTATTCGGGTCAAAAGAACACAACCAGAGTATATCAGTTGTACCAGAAATACTTTAATCTACAACAGGGTAATCAGAGTCTTGAGGAGTACTATGCTAGTATGAGAAGCATTCGTAATGAATTGAATGTTAATCACCCCCTCACTTCTGATGTCAAAATTCAGCAACAACAGAGAGAACAACTTGATGTGACTCGGTTTTTGGTGGGGCTGAAATCTGAATATGAACCAATGCGGGCTCAGATACTAGGAGGGTTAGCTCTCCCTTCCTTAGAAGAGGTGTTTGCTCAACTCAAGAGGATTTCCATTGGATCTACTGAGAACCCTAAATTTCTGATAGATCAGCCCTAGCAGTATCCAGAGGCCGTGGTGTTAGAGGTGGAGCTCGAGGAGCTCAATCTGGCTGGAGTGGTGGTAGTGGGCCTACATATAACCGTGGTGGTGGTCGCACTGGAGGTCGAGATTTAGGGGAAGCCCGTGGCAGAGGACGTAGTTCGGGTCCAAGGAGGTGTACACACTGTGGTATGGATGGACATACCATCAATTATTGCTATGACTTGCATGGTC